AGGCACTTCTTGCCTATGACTCCCCATCCAGAGTCTGCCAACACTGCCAAGGACAGTGGCCTGAGGGCCTCACACAGCACCCACCTCCCAAGGAATGTGTGGTGGGGCTAGCTCTGGGTGAAGGTGGGAAGGCCAAGAGACTCAAGAAAAGGTGAGATGAGAGGAGTGGGCCAAAAGTCTCACTTCTGAGGAAGTTCATCTCCCAAGTAGGTTTGAATGCAAAACACCAAGATGTCTGCTGTCCACGGAGCCCTGAGCACGGTAGGGAAAGTTTCTTCCTGTTTCTTCCAGCTTTAGGGTCTCCAGATGTTCGTGGCTGTACTTATGTATCCCAAACCCAGCAATTACAGGCTCTCTTCCTGGCTGCCTGTAGAATCCTTCTGTATATACATTGGCCACAGCATGAAGGCCCCTTCGATAACCTTGTTGATATCCTCATGCCAAAAGCCTGTGGTTTATCACATCTACAGAGACCCTTTTCCAAGTGAGGTCACACTCACACGCTCCAGGGATTTGATGAGGATGTCTTTGTGGGGAGCACTACCTTCCCTCTAGCTTGCCAAACTGATGGCCAAGAGAGACCACACTTATCAGCTCTTTCTATTCCCTTCTCAAAAGGATGGTGCTCCCATAGGACAGGGAAATTTGTTCACTTCATCTAAAATTGCACACACACAGCCTAGGCAGAATGCAAAGACTAGAGCTGCTTCTCATATGACATCCCAGAGGAGGAAAAAAAAAAACAAGAAAAAAATAAAAGACAAGACTAGATCAAGTTGCTACCTGGAAGTGCCTTAGCAGAGGTGCAAAGAGCCAGCTGCCAGCACGATGCCTACATTGAGTGTGTGTGGCCTCCGGTGTTGTCAGTCACAGGCTGTGGTGAAGAGAAGCTTCTCAGCCTTCCATGCATGGTGGCAGCCGTGGGTGTCAGCAAGCTACAGGGATTGAGCAGAGAAACCAGACCCACACTGAGAGAACAAGCTAGACACAGGTGAAGAACAAGGTGAAGACACAGAACGAGCCAGAGAATGAGAAGGAGCCAGGAGATTAGAGCAGATTGCTGGAGTTAGTTTGAGGCCAAGCAGAGCAATTCTAGGGCCAAGAAAGGGCGTGCTTATTCAGAGGGTAAAAATGTTCTAGGCCTAAGTTAGATTGTACAGAGGCTAGAAGCTCCCAGGGCTAGGCCTAGATGGAGCTGATGGAGGCTGTAAGCCTCAGAGACAACTGAAAAAAAAAATAGAGACTGGTTCATCTTGTTCTGTGACAAAAGGAATGCCATGTAGTGTGATTTTAGGAAGAGAAGCCCAGAGGCGTTGCGAGACTGCTCCTGAACGCAGGTTGCTGGTGAGTCCGTGGTTTCTTCCAGACAGAACTTTGTCTTCAAACGCAGCTGGCAAGAGCCTTGGGCGACTTGTCTTTAGGTCTACACCCAGGGAAAGAAACGCCCAAGGCTACAGCTGAGCAGGGACCTGTGGCATCTCCAGTAGGTTCTCACAGCATGACCTACATGCAGCCCTGAGCCTGACAAAGAAGAGCTGTCACAGAGGACAAAAAGACAGCCATGAAGGGTGAGAGGCAGGCAGACGGCAACTGTTACCTCTCTGTGTGATCTAGCCTCAGAGAGGGGCAAGCATGGTGTGCCATCCAGCTGGAATGCAGAGATTTGACCTTGAGAAAGGCTTGGCTGGACTAGGAAAGTCATCCAGTCTGTGTTCAGGATTGGGTAGCTCTTGGCTGGCTGTACTTTTCCAGACTAACTAAGAGTAGTGGGCTGTCCAGGTGTCCTGGACCATCGGTCTGTGTGGGCTCCTGGTGGCCGTGGGTTCCCAGGTTGCTGTGGGTGGGGCTGCCAGTTACCTGGCCAAGAAAATGAAATTATATAGATCATGGGCCCGGGGGAAAACCTACTACTATTGTCCTACTAAAGGAATAAATAATAATAAACAAATAGCAACATTTATAATAAATAGCAACCAGATGGCTCCTAGTGACATATTGCTATACCCATAGATCAATCCTTATTAAATACCCACACCTGAAAAATGTGCAGAAAGAGCAAGAGGGGGCAGGAGGATATTCTGGAACCCTCGGTCCTTCATCAAACCCCTCCCCTCAAGAGTCAGAGGTCTATGCCGAAGAGGAGGCAGGAAGATTGTAAGAGCCAGAGGTGATGGATGACACCAAGGAGACAGTGCCTTCCAGACACAACAGGACTGACGCGCATGTGAACTCACAGAGGCTGTGGCAGCAGGCACACGGCCTGCACATGCTCAAGCCAGATGGTGAGGGTCCCAGGACAGAGAGGAGGAAGTGGACATGGGGTGGGGTCCCCAACCCTAACTAATCAGCATAAGGGAAATAAGTTTTCTCTAATGGAGTGTCACCAGTTTTCTCAGCCACACTCCATGGCAGGCTCTATGCCCCAGAGTAGTTGCTCTGTGCCCCAGAGCAGCAGAATAACAGACTCTATAGTTTTGTTTGTGGGCTTTTTGCTTTATCTTAGTTCATTTTATCTTATTTTTTTTTCTTTTGCTGTGCTGAGGTTTTGTTTGTTTGGGGTTTTCTTTTTTGTTGTTTGTTTGTTCTTGAGACAGAGAACACGGATGTTGTATAGGAAGGTGGAAAGGATCTGGGAGACGTTGAGAGAGGGGAAAAACAAGATCAAAATATAGTGTATGAAAGAGAAAATTTTAAATGAAGAGGCTGCAAGTCAGCCACTGGATTCTCCCTTCCCATGCATGACACAGACCCCTAGTCCTCTTATAATCCTGCACCATACACCTCCATGACAAAAGGTGGGACACAATGTGGTGACCATCAAAAGCTCCCATCAGATTTACATGCTTCCTGCTTCCTGCATGTCCTGCCATGGTGCTTCTCAAGCTTTCCATTGTCTTGCCTGATGCCTGACATTCACTACCCCACAGGTCCCCCCTTTCCGCCTTAGTCTCTCACCTCTTGAATTGATTTTCAATGACATCTGCTGGCCATCCTCAGATGGAAGGAGACAAACACAGAGAGTCTAACTCTTCTTCTCTCACCGCCATGAGGCTAGAGAGAGTATCCTGCCCTCCTTAGATCTGGGCTCCCAGAACCTAGCATGGCTCCTAGCCCCTCCTGGGACTAAGAACAAGGTGCCCTTGCAAGGTAGTTGCATGATCAGCAGGTGTGATATTAGGGTCCCTGTCTCCCGCTGGCTCTGTAGTGGCCTCCCTCTCAGCTAGAGAGGAGGTTCTGGTGGCTAGAATTACAGTAGCACAGGAGAAAGAGCAGGTAATGAACCCAGAAGAACAGGCAAGAAGCGTGTTTGGCAACATGCCTGCTTGCATTGAAGTTCCCGCCTGGAGTCTTCCTGGTGCCCTCCTGACTGTTTTCCGGCTTGAAATGCACTAATTGGCCAGAAGATAGAATGATAAGGAAAAAAGAAAAGGATGTCTCAGTTTGGTCAAGGGAAGCAGCACCTGCTGGTGAAGGACGGAGAACAGAACAAGCACCCCTGTAGCCTGTAGCCTGCAGCCTGCAGCCTGCAGCCTGCAGCCTTAGCCCTGTAGGCTACTATTGTATACTTACAGTCTGAGGCCTATCTCCCTACCCTTCCTCCACGTCAGCCTGCCTGGGATGGGCTCTAGGCTCACACAGCAAGCCCAATCCTGTTATTCCCCACATTGCACCTGGCAATGCCTAACCTCACTCCCATGGCACCCACGAGTGTTACCCATGCCACACACTTCCGTGTTCCTTGCTAGAATGCTGCAGAGGCGCCGTAGTCCCCTATACCAGCACCTTTCCAACAATATCTGAATCTGGCATTCGGGGTAGTTCCAGTGCTGCTGTGATGCTGGACACTGCCTTCTGGTTCACCCTAGCATGCTCAACAGTGGTTGCCTTTGCTGTGGCCAGAGTCACGGGTTACAAGCACACGGTGAGGCTTCTGAGCTCTCAGCACCAACCAGTCACTGAATTCCCACTGCTGTAGGGATCTTGTGGAGGCTAGCCGAGAATTTCTTTCTCCTTGCCCATTCAGCAGTGCTGCAAAGTTGATATTTTCCACTCCTTACACACATGCTCAGAGAGTAAATCCAGGAAAATCAGCCAGGTGGCCGATGGCGGCCCAGCTCCAATCTCTGCATCTCATTCTGACCTCCACGGCTTTGGCAAAGATAATCTCTCACAGCTTCAACTTAAGAATTTAGAGGCTAGAGAGATTGCTCAGAGGTTAAAAACACTGATTGTTCTTCCAATAGAACCTGAGTTCAACTCCCAGCAACTACATGGTGGCTCATAACCATCTGTAATGAGATCTGGTGACCTCTTCTGGCCTGCTGGTACACATGCAGGCAGAATACTGTATACATAATAATTTCTTTTTTTTTTTTTTTAAGATAGAATTTAGAAAGGTTGAGCCAGGCATGGCGGTGCAAATCTTTAATCCCAGCACTCAGGAGGTAGAGGCAGAGGCAAGTGGAACTCTGTGAGTTCAAGGCCAGCCTGGTCTACAAAGCAAGTCCAGGACAGCTGGGGCTCTGTTACACAGAGAAACCCTGTCCCAAAAACCCAACTAAACAAACAAACAAAAATCAGAAAGGTCAAGCTCGTAAGTCTAAGCCACCCTAAGGATGCAGCCAGGACAGCACAGGGAGGCCAGCACAGCACAGAATGTCCCCACAAGGAAATACCTGCCTGTGGGATGGCTCACCCGCCCTCCGGATGTGAGACTTCAGCTCCTTCCCACTAAGCACTTGCGTTTTGTCACTCACAGGTGGTTACCCTGGAGCGGTAAAGAGAGTGGGCTGGACGGAGAGGAGAGGAGGAGCCTCCATCTGGTGTCCGGGCTTGACGTGCAAACCCTCACTTCCGCTTCCTTCTACCTGTTAGAATTAAGGGTTTTCTCCAGCTCATGCCAGGTTGGTGGGGGTGGAGGAATGGCAAGGTCCACCCTTTGAAGGAGGAGTGTCAAAGAGCGTGTACACATTGAGGTTGAAGGGAACAAGGTCCGCTCTTTGGGAGGTGGAGTACCAAAGAATGTTCGGGCATTGAGGACTTGTGTTGGGGGTGGAGAGAGGCTTCGGTCTCGCCGTCTGTGTTTTCTTCTTCCCTAGAGCACACCTACTCCAGTCGCCATCTTTCATTGCCTCCACTGGTGCAGTCCCTGCTCTACCTGCCGTGGTTTGCGACAAGCCCTTCCCGGGCCCGTCTGCTCCGCTTCATCTGCTTCATCTGCTCCTTCTCTCTCTCTCTCTTCCTAAGTGCCAGGGTGGCTCCCACTGCCTTTCATCCTGTTACTGTGCAATGGAGCCGCCTGACCCCGAGTATCCTGTCTGTGTTGTGCAGGGGTGAGTAGGACACTTTTGGCCTTATTCATCAGATAGAACCTTGCTGTAGGGAGAGTGGCAGGGGTGGGTGGGTGGGTGCATGATTCAAAGCAGCTTTTTAAGAGAAGAAATCATGTGCTGAGAGAGAGAGAGAAAGAGAGAGATATGGTGCACAACAATCATGCAAAAGAAGGTCCATAGACAGGTCTCATTTTAGGTATTGTTAAATCCAGTGCCCTAGTGATGCCTGGGAACTTGGTTTCTCTGAATCTCTCAGTTCTTCCTCAGGGTCCTCACAGGTGCAGCATAGCTGCAGCCTTCCAGCCTGCAGAAGCAGCCTCGAAGGAGCATACTCACAGACACATCGCCGGGAGCAGCTTAGTCACATGCTCATTGCTGAAGCCACTGTAGCCGGAAAGTGCAGGCATGTGATTAGGAAGGTATGTGTCCATGCTAGCCTCTGAGTCTTAGGGTTTCTAAGGTCATCATGGCGAGGGTATATTCCACAGCAAGAACGTGAACCCAGGAGTGGCAGTGTAGGCAATCAGGCGGCTGAAGCAAGAAGGGTGGCTGTGAGTTCAAAGCCAGGCAAGGCTACGTAAAAAAGATCTTGTCTCGACAAAACAGGGAGGAGAGAGGATGCGAGGGGCTGAGGTGTGACTCAGTGGCAGGGTCTTGTGTGCAGATGTCCTTGGGCTTGAACTCACCTCTACAGAAGAGAGAAATCTGCGCTGACTGAAAACAAGCCTGGAAGTAGGGCTCAGGGTGAAGCCGAATGTGAAGCCCAGAAGAACAGAGGCTAGCTCTTGAGGAAGATGAGATCTACAAACACAGCAGAAAAAAACAGCCCAGGTTGACACAAGGTGAGGGGCAGAAGCGAAGCAATTGAGCCTGGCAATCTGTAGGTGCCTGGCACCCTGGCCTTTTTCATTCTTATCCTTTTGGCGTTTGGAACCCATTGGGCAGACCTGGGTGAGGTCCAAGGTTCAAGCTGACAGCACAGAGCATGCTTGCTGCAGTCTGAGGTGACATGTGGAGTTTGGGGCTGTCGAGCTGACATCTTCCATTAGTGCTGCAATACATTTTTTAATATATCCCATTTTTCTTTAATTTCAGATTATATTGGGTCTGGTAGACTCTCTCTTCATTACGAAGCTCTGCATCGTTAAGCAGTTAGAATAGTATCCTGCAGAGCGTGATGGCCTCATTACATCTTCCTGAAACCCCCTCTTTGGAAGTCATAGCTTCAAACTTTACAGAGACGTGACGCTGCCTCCTCCAGACAACATAACAGATGTGTATTGGTCAGGGACGCCCTGATTCCTCCCTGGGATGCCTTTAGCCTTCTATGGGAACCTGAGCTGGTGTCTTCAAGTGGGGGGTGGGGCTTTAACTTATGTTGTGTCACAGTGGTCTCCCCATTTATTTAATGGGGTTCCAGTGACCAGAACATGTCTGGTCCTTCTTTGTATGCCATAGTTCTCAGACCAGAGGTTTTCAGTGAACTTAGAACCAATCCTGAGTTGAGCCTTGAGGGAGAAACAGAAGGTCAGGCAGCATCCTGTGGCCTTCTGGCCTTCCTGCCTGGCCTTCTGCAGTTGCTAATCTGTTTAGGGATAAACACCATTAAGAACGAGTTGATTGGCGGTTGTCGACAGACCCACCAATGCCAGAGCGAATGAATGCGGTGCACCCAAGGTTGAAATTAGGGGGAAAAGCATTAATCTGGAGGTTGAAATTAAATCACAGACACATCACTGTTTAAATTAAGTCTTTCATTCACACTGCTTCTGGTCACGAGGCAAGAACCTTGGCCACTGATGTTTCTTTATGTCCCCTCTGTGTGACTCCGGATGTGACCCAAACCCACAAATGACCCCACCGTGTCGCCAAGAGACACACTAGTGCAGAGGGAGCATGTTCAGATGCGAAAATGTCTGTGTGGGTTGTAAAGGACCCTTCCGAGCCTGAAATCTTCATCTGTGGATTTTCGGTGATCCTGACATCCTCAGTGCCTCCCCGGTCACTAGCTAACATGAAGGTCTCACGTAGCTGAAAGCTTCCTGCCTGAGGCCAGAGGACTGGCCCATTGTGGCAGCTTCCTTGAGTCTCTGGAATCTTTCCTCCTCTGTCTTCCCGGTTCTTGGCCACAGATCTCACTCTGTGCCCTCCAGCTGTAGACCAGCTGGTGATAGTTCACCTGACTTGCCATCTCCCGCTTCCTGCAATGGATCTGAGTCCTGCTGGGCACCTAGACTTAGCTCTCTTTAGGCGGGTGGTTCATGTCTAGGACTCACTGCTGACTCCCTTGTGAGCTCTCAAGGCTCTACACCAAATGCTGCTCAGCTTACGTGCGAGTCCAGGCCACCCTCATTGGGGTCAGCACAGGATGCCAGCCGCACCTCTCTGCTTCTCCAGGGATGTTCCCCTGGCCCTTTAGCCCCGGGCTGGGAGCCTGTCTCTGTGACTTTGGTCACTCAGGACACTCTCAGTTCAGACTGTCATTGTGAGGAGGGGAAGCTTGACACTGCCACCCACTCAGGCCACTGTGAGACGTGAACAAGGCAATGCTTTTGACAGAGGCAGACAGGGGCAGACTTATAGATCACGCGCTGCACTGCGGCCTTTGGAACTAGCCATTTTAAGGGAGCTGGGGCTTCTGCCACTGTGGACACGCCGGGACCACCATTAGTGATAACCCTGTGACCACCACTCTCTTTACCTCTACGCTGTCACTGCCACTTTGCTTCCCCCGCCACTCTTACTACCATGATGGCTTCTGCTGGTTCCGAGGCGTAACCACCGCTATTGTCTTCCCCCGTCTCTGCCACCACTACAGCTGCTAACACCCTCATCACTGTCGCTATCGCTGCTGCACACCGCCCTCACCGTGGCTGCCATCATACCCACGGTTGCTACAACCACGGCTCCTACCGCTGTGAAGACCTCCCCAGTGAAGAAAGAATTGGATTAATGCTTACTAGAATTTAGCCCCATCATTCACGGTGGATGAAATGGTGGCTGCTGCGACAGAGCATCTGTTTGGCAGGCAATTAATGCACAAAGAATGAGGGTGAAAGAGCGCAGGGCAATGGCCTAAGCTCCGTGGGGAAACGCATACAATGTTGATTAGAGCTGCAGGCTTCAATGGTCCTACATAAATGGAAAAAGCTTAAAACCCACAAGCATTTTAAAGAAAGGTCCTGAGCCAAAGAAAGATGTAAACTCTTCAGGCAGGAGATGTTAGTTTTGACCCCCACAGGGATGCTAGAGATAAGAAAGCAAGGTGATAAAATCAAATCAGCAAGAAAAGTGGTGTCTAGCCTGGGATTCTATGCCCAGCCAGGCTGCCTCTGATGGCATCGTTGCAGAATAATCTGATGTGCCACTAATGCCACAGATGGCAGAATGATCTAGGGTTACAGCTGAGTTGGGATGGTGCTCGAACCCCTGGGTTCCTTCCCCACCACTGTATGGTGGTGTATGCCTGTCATTTCAGCACTCAAGTGGGACACGTGAGAAGCAGAAATTCAAGGTCATTCTTGACTATATAGCAAGTTCAAGGCTGATCTGGGGCTACATGAAACTTTGTGTAAAATAACATCAGAACAGAATAAAATAACAAAAGAACAGTAATTAATGGTTTGTGAATGGGAGGAAGGACGGCTCCTGACCTTGATCAAAAAAGGGGGGAGGGGAGGAAAGAAATCTGAACAATTCCACTCTTCTTGAGATACTGAAGTTACTGTGCACTGTGTGATTTTAAGTAACCACTAACATGCTTGCAGGGCAATTCTTTAAACCTACTGCAAGGTATCAGTACAACAGGAGCCAGTAGTGGAGGCGGACTCTGGATGCATGCTCTCCACATTCATAGAGAGAAAGATTTATCTCCATAAGATGGTAGTAGCAGGGGGTCTGTGGCAAGAGGCTAGATCATGATGATAGAGCTCTCCCAATTCAGTTAGTACGTTTGTAAGCAAAGACAGGTGGGAGCATGTATTCTCCCAGATCCCTACCACGTGAAGGCACAAAGAAGTGCCCACCTGCAGACTGGTAAGATAGCTTCACCCAAAACCAGATCTGCCAAGCCTTGAAGTCAGATATCCCAACCATGAGGGAGAAAGGCCACACACCCAGGGCATTTGTAATGAATACTTCGAATAGACCAAGAAAGGGGATGAAAAGGAAAAAGGGAAAGAAAAAGAAAAACAAAGGAGGCGAGTTCAGCATAACAGCGTTGAATTTAAATAAGTGCATACGTGCTAAAAACAGATTATACAGTGGGAATCGATGTGAAATTCCTCCTCGTCTAGATGGAAAGGTTAAAACAAAAGCAGAGACTGCTAATTATAGTACAGCGATTCTAGCAGTATCAATGGCAGGCGAGAGTGATTCTAGCACACTTGGCCAGGAGAAGTTCTACTTGAGTCAGAAAAAGGCTGAAGGCTGGTGAGATGCTCATCTCTGTCTCTTCAGCCTGTTGTGTACAGTAAGCTAGGGGAAGTACAAACAGGGGGAGGGGTTTCATGTGGCTATTTGCAAATTACATGGTTGTGTACTTCAAAAATCCAGGACGATGTAGGCAGGTTATTAGCGCCGAGGAAAGAATCTGGCAGCATTCCTGTGTTGGTGCAGTGACCAACATAGGAAAATGATAGAACTATTACTTTAAAAAAAAAAATCAATGGTGTTCCCATGCACCATCAAGGAGCAAATAAGAGGCAAAATAGAGAAAAAAGTCCCACTCACATTGGCAACACCAATTACACACTGTCGAGAAATGGATGTGGTGGGAGAGGATGGGAATTTTTATGAAGAAAATTGCTAACTGAGCCTAGCGATGCAGCTTGCAAATCTGGTTACCTGCGAGGCTGAGAGGAAAAAAAAAATGACTGCAGGTTCAAGGCTTGCCTGGGTAACTCAGTGAACCCCTGTCTGTCTTAGTTTCATTTCCTGTTGCTGTGACAAGAAACATGATACAAGCAGCTTAGAGGAAAGGGGTTTTTCCATCTCACAATTCCAGGTAATGGCTGGTAAGTCAAGGCAACAAGAACTTGAAAGAACTAATCACACTATAGCCACGGTCAAGAGCAGAAAGCAAGGGATTAATGCACTCATGCTCATGTTTACCTAGCATCTTCCACTCTTATACAACCCAAGATCCCTTGCCTAGAGGATGATGCCACCCACAGTGGGCAAGTCTTCCAATTGATGGAGATAATCCCTCCAGTACATGCATACAAGCTAACCTAGTCTAGACAGTCTCTCATTGAGATTCCTGTCCCACGTGATGCTAGATTGGGTCAAGTTGACAATTAAAACTAACCACCACACTGTCTCGTGATAACACGAAAAAGCGGGTTGAAGAATGGCTCGGTGATGATGACCCTACTGTACTACTTAGACCTATAATCAACTTGGTACAGCCTAAAATCATCCAATGGGGTCTCAATTGACATAGTTCCCCGATCAGATTGGCCTATGGCTACCTCTGTGAGAGACTGTCTTGGCTGACAATTGATGCAGGAGAACCCAGACCATTGTGGGCAGCACCATCCATAGGCAAGTGGGTCCAGGTTGTAAAGAAAGCTAGCTGACCACGAGACCCGGAGCAAGCCAGAAAGCAACATTCCTCCATGGTTTCTACTTCAAGTTCCTACACTGAGTCCCTGCCTCAACTTCCCTCCGTGATGGATTGTGACCTGGAAGTGTAAGCCAAATAAGCCCTTTCCTCCTCAGAGGGTTTTTATCACAGCAACAGAATGCAACAAAAATATTTGCCTGCCATGTGTGGGAATCCCCGTTCAGTAACGAAAGGACGAAGGAAGAGGGGAGGAAGGAAGAAGAAATTATGAAATGTATTAATGAATACAAAGATGTGAATAAGTGGAACACATTTCATGGATGAGTAGACACTACATCACAAAAGTGGCACCCGCCCCCAAACTGATTAACAAACCCGATGGCACCTCAATCAGAATCTCGACAGTCTTGTTAGCGAAAATTGACAAATCTATTCCAGAATGTATGTGGAGAGGCAAATGAACAGAATGGTTTTGAAGAGACTAGGTTTCAGGAGAAGGACATGTGCACAGAAGCCAGGAAGGATTACGGAGACGGAGTAAACACCCCAAGCTGCCCTGGTACAGGAATTACAGATGGATCGATGGTACAAAACAAAACATAGACCAGCCTGCGCCAGGATGACGTGAGCAAGCATCTGATGGATTACAGAGGTGGTGCTGGGAGTCAGTGAAGAGGAGATGGATGACTTTATACGGGGACTTTCCATCAGAAAAAAAAGTAATTAGATTTTCTCTTTTACTACATTCAGTATAATGAGTTTTATATGACTAAAGGAAAAAAAAAACAAGGATTTTAAAACTTCTCAGAATTATAGGATATCTTCATGATGACCTAAAAATAAAAAAAAAAATGATTTATTAGACAGTGGACAATGTCTAATGAGAAAAAAAGCAAAAGCAACAAATAAAAACCTTCACCACTGCCTCCTCCAGAAAAGTCTCAAGAAATATGAGCCCAGCTGATGAGCAATGTGCAGCCAAGAGACCGAGAGACCAAGGTGCACTGGTGTCCCCTAGCAATCAGTGAGAAAAACTAAATAATGTAACAAAAAATGGACAAAGGATATAGATTTCAAGCCACTGAAGAAGGTCCCCGTGTGTCCATCTGATGGCAGGGAAAGACAGCTCTGTAGTCAGCAGCCACCGGGACAGCATGAGGTTAGCAGCGCACACTGCTTCCCGCCACCACGGGAGCAAACCCAAAGTGTGCCAGGATGCCAACAGCTGGTGAGGACTCACAAGAGGCAGCCACCATGCAAGAGGCACCCACCCCACAACCAGAAGTGTCCACTGCTTCAATACCACAGGAAGTGTCTACCCGGCCAGTATGAACGCCAAGCTGCGGGCTGTTCTGACTGGTGGCTTTGACGTCAAGGAACAGGAACCACGTGGTGTGATACACTGTCACTGCCCAGACCCCGAGAGCATTGTCTATCAGTGACCCAACTACCTGAACAATCAGCCTCTCTTATAGAGTTCCGAGCTCCTTGAGGTTCAGCCAGAGCTCTGCAGAGAAGGTGCAGCATGTATGTTTAGTTTACATTATATCTGTTTAAAAGACAAGTGTTTTTACATATAAGAGCCTTAATCCATTTTGTGTTGGCTGTTGCAAAATGTTGGACCCTGAGCGCTTGAGAAAGAGGAGGTTGTTTGGCTCATGATCCAGAGAGCTGACAGGCCCAAACAACATGGCATTGGCCTTTGGTGAGGGTTCATGTCTCACCGCATAGTGAGGAAGAGGTAGGGCATCAGATGCATCCAGAAGGGTCCATGGGGGGGGGGGGCTTGTTTTATAGTGAGCCAGTCTTGTGAGAACTGCCACCTCCACTGTAGGGTGGCACTGACTCACTGATAGTGATGCAGACACTAGGCCCCTTCCACTAGGCCCCACAGCTTAGTCGAGGACCAAGCCTACAGCACGTGATCCTCTTGAGGTCAAACCACATCCAAACCATCACGCTCTGTCAGGTTGGGTAAAAGTTTACCTCCATGAGTGCTCAGATGGGGCCCTCAATATTGCGCGTGACGGAAGGTGATTCTTCTGAAATATACTCATCCATCATGATGTCCACCTACCCTGGCCTCTCACCTCTATACACCAGAAGTATAAGCATTCCTATAACCAGATTCCGACAGCTTGACAGTGGACAGGAATGTCTACTATGGGTCAAAACGCCCTGCCAACTTCTCAGGTACACACAGGGAGCTATGAACGAAGCTGTCTAGAGAGGCACTTACGATGGAAAACGTGTGTAGAGTAACCACACATGCCAGAATGTCAAAGAGCCATTAAAGTGAACCCTAGACACATTTGCAAATTATGATTGTGGTGGTGACGTGGTGGTGACGCTGGGGGTCCGTGACTGTGTCGAGTTTTTATCTAAACCAGCTCGAAATCTCCAAACAGGCTCTAAAAGCGTTGAGCAATGGAGCCGAAGAGGGTCCGTAGCTGGCACACAAATCTGGTAAAGGGACTTCGTTTAAGATGTCACAGCAGGTGCTTCTTTGATGAAGGAGGGACCTGCTTTCCAACAAGCAGTGCTGAAACAATGAGTGTAAAGTTGCATCTTGATGCCCAGTCTCCATGATACACAGAAATGAACTCAGAGTGGACTACTGTTCTAGGAGCAAAGTGTGAGAGTCTGAAGCCTCTTGAAGAAAGAGCATCAGAGAAACTTTTTGTGACCTTGAGAAAGACGAAGAACAGACTACAGTCCATGATCCAAGTGCAGCCAAAGGCCTATTTTTAAATGAGCTGCTAGTTAGTGGCTTATACATTTTTAAGTTTCTGTACACATGCACACACACAGACATAGCACTCCTCAAGGAAACAGTCCAAACCTCAAGACTATGCCATGGAAACAGGTGAAACAGCCTGCAAAGACTAACACATCGACTTCTTGATTCTTTCAGAAATGGTCAAACCCACTGTGGAATTCTGGACCATACCACAAGATACCCAGCCTTAGTCTGGAATGCAGTTACACGCTCAACCATATCACAGAATGCTTCACCGCCATAGAGTGTGGGACCGTGTTATTAGAAGCT